ATGTAAACTCGATTGTGAGACTTTTATGGGTTACTTACCTTTGGAATCTTTAATTAATTAATGTAGGTACGCACAGATATGGTGGTCGTCGTGGTTCAGCATATAATACAAAAGATTCCGATAGCACTGCATTTGGGGAAGGGAGGTCCTCAAGAAGAGGAGGTCCTGGATATGTTTCCCATGAGGTGTGCTTTATCTGAGTATTGGTTTCATCATGGGCTTGTTTTGAACTTGGAAAACTATGAAAAATGATGCAGGAAAAATAAAAAAATGCTTCAAACTCAACAAAACAATAAAAATAAAAATTGAAGTATATGTAAATTCTTAATTCTTTTAGTCAAATTTCATTTTCTTCTATATTTTCCTCTACAATTTCCCGAGTTCTAAAGATGGCCTAAAGGTGCCAAAAAAAGGTCACTTCAAATGGCCAGTATTTTAACATGCAAAGAAAAAACTGGTGGTTATTCCTTCACCATTGCTAACTTGTTTTGGATTGTATTGCATGATAAATGCAGAAGCAAGTGTGGGTTCAAAAGTCAAGTTCAGGTTCTTAATTTTGCTAGTTGTGGTAAGTTCAAATCTTTTTGTTCATCAGAATGTGCATTAAATGTTGATTTATTTATTTTGCTCGCCTGCTTGTTTGAATAATTGAAATTAATGAATTTTGAATTGGCAATGCTTTCATGTCGGTAAAACTTGGATAGTTCTCCAAATGCATAGTAATTGATGAAATGATTGCAAGATTGATTGCATGTTTTTTGTGTATACACAATTGTACATATATATTATACTGTTTTCCCAGTTTCACACGCACACACTTGATACTCTTCCCTGGACATCTGTTATGGTTTCTTTTTCTGGAAGGATCATATTTGGGTCCCTATTTTTTGGAAGGGTCATATTTTTTTTCTTTCTGGAAGGATCATATTTGGGTCCACTCAACTAGGCTGCTCATTTCCCATTTAGTGGATATAACCCCCTCCTATACATTTTAGTCTACTGGGATCCTTTAATGACTTATGTAGAATCAGTTACTTAGTTGGGTGTAGGTTTTGGATGCAAAAAGCTTTGGAGGACTTATTTTATAGTTTTGGCAATGAAGTGTTTCTAAAAATGAATTGAGGTGGGGATTGAAATCTTACATGATCTCCTATTTTTTCCATTCCTTCAATTTTAGAAAAATCTTATATCATAATATGAGATGCAGCCTTAATGCTGTGTTTGAGAGGGGGTTTGAGGTGAGGGTGATAGTGCTTTCTCATCGTAGATCTTGATCCAAGTGCTAATGATATGCATAAAAGAATATGAAACCCTTTGGGTCCATTAGTTTCATATTTTTCAATGGATATCCTACACCCTTAGATCAAGATCCAGTGGTTCAAATCACACTCTCATTNGTACGTTTCCGGATAGACTTTGCCCTCTAAACCCTTGTGATCCTTCCTCTTCCAATGAACTTGAGTAAACAATCACTTCATAGTTTTTGGGGGTATATACTATATATCCACCAAATGTGAGTTGAGAGGCCTAAATGAGCCAAATGTGCAAGTTTTTCTTTGTACTATTGTTCTTGTTATCATTATTGTTAGAGTTATGATTGTTATTATTCCTTGTGTGCTTGAGATTAGTCAAAAAGTAAGTAGTCGTACTAGATTCTCACTTTTAATGGTAGTATTTTGGACCTGTGTGTAGTGAAACGCTCGATTGCGTACAACACCCAAAAGTATAAATGGCGGTGCTCTTTTTGTTTATGAGTGGGCAACTTTTACCAAAGACACGTTTATGGAAGAAGAAGACCTTTAGCAACGGATTTTTGAATTGCTACACCAAGTGAACCCTTTGATCATCGTACTACACAAACACAGTACAACACACCAAAGACGGTCCCAGTGGCAAGAACGTCTTTTTATGACGTGAAATAACACCATGGTGGAGGCGGGTTTCTTCGGCGGGTCCCATGGAAATACTAGTTCCCGCCATTTCTCTCCCTGGTCATGAAGAAGATAGTTATAACTAGGGGCTCCCAAGAAGTGGATTATATTTGTTGACTTAATGTATATACAAAAGACAGTATTCCATTGCTTAAGCCCCCTTCCCCCACCCCACCCAACCCACGTCCCGCCCTTCCATCCGCGTAGTATTTGCATATACATATATATTCATACTCCATCGGCGTTGATGCTAATGCTAGGCTTGAGTTGCTTGATGTTTTGGCAGTGCGGTTTTTTTATACTTAGGGCCTAAATATGGGTATTGAATCTGATTGGTTTTGGCATAATCTTTGTTTAAATGATGTCTACTGCCTACTAAAAGGTGTTTCGAGTATTTTTTACTGTGTTATTTACTATCGATTCTATCTCAAATTAAATTGTCTCTTTAGATTTGCAATAATATTTTCATCTCATTTTCTTTATCACGTGTATGAAATAAGTCTCTCTCTCTCTCTCTGGATTTTACGTACGTTTTATTATTTGTACTTTGTAAATTTAATTAGAATTAACAAATACATAATTGATTATTTATAACATGATGATTTCCTTATTTAATGTGCGAGAAGATTGGTTAAATTTAATGAAATAAATTTTAAAATCATAAAATTTAATTAGAATTTTTTATTGGAGTAAATTACATAATTGATTATTTATAACATGATGATTTCCTTATTTAATTCTCTATTATCAAATATTTTTCTAGCAGTTCTTTTATAGGTATCTTTCCACAAACAGTTCTTTTGATTTTCTATGATGTTGGTGTTGATTTGAGGGCTAAAAGCGTAATTTTTCAATGATAATATATGTTTCTTGGCATACACAATTCCAAAGACCGTTCTTGATGCATCGTTTCTATTAGCATCATAGTTTACAAATGTTGTCTTTTATCGAAATTTTAGCGCACAATCGTAGTCATTATTTTTATGTTATCTTTCTAACCAATATCAGAATACGTCACCGGCATAAGGTCGACGTTAAATTTTACTTTTATGCTTTAAATTAATATCAGCATGACAGAAGATCGAAAAAAGACCACTGGTGGAAAAGTGCCCATAAAAGAAGAAGTACAGACATAATATTTCATAATAGGGGACACAAATAATATAGTCATGTCACCTTTAATTTGAAAAAATAATATAGTCATGTCAGATCTAGTTTTGTACATCTTTTCAAGTAGTTTTTAAATATTTAATTTTTATTTTTTTAATTCCATTCTATTTTTGAATATAACTTTAATCAATTATTGTAAAGTGCCATGAGAACTTTATTTATGTAGGAAGAGAGAGTAAACAAATTACACAAGTGGATGTAAAAATAGCATTATTGAAAAAAATAATCACTTGGTGAAAGGGTTCCACAAAAGAAGAAAAAGTTGAAGAGCCATCATACATCTTTTTTGATTTTTATTTATTTATTTATTTTTTAAATTTCTTGCCAAGGAGGGGGTGTGGGACATTTGGGGTACACCAAATTGGTGTACCACTACCATTTTTCAAAGTTGAAACTTGAAAGGGGGAGAAAAAAAAGGAAGTGGGATCCGAGAAAGTGGACCCGAGATCCGGAAAAGCTGACACCAAAGTCAAAATCTCATAACTGCTTGGGGAAGGCAGCGCATGAATGTCTTACTCCCCATGTTATCCATCCCCCATTCTAGTCACATTTACTCCTTTCTACCACGCGTCGGTAGACATTGCACAGTTGGTAAAAGTAAAGAGTTTCAGAAAGTAAGATCTGAGCTCGATTCATAGTTCTTTTTGTCATTAATCTACGATTAAAGTTCAATTTAATTCATCTCACTGATCGTTCAGCCGGTTCTGAGGGACCCTCGGGGATGAAACTCATCATTTACTTTCTTGTTCCACAATACATGTCACTCTTCGAACGTGTAAAATTTTATGATTTTAAAAATTATTATAATTATAAACTAGTTCAAAAATAAAAATAATTAATTACATTATTTAAAAAAATATTAAAAGTTTTACAAATCAAGTGGTGATAGAAATATTTTATTTTATCAGATTATCAATGAAAATATACAACAAACAAAATATATCCATCATTAGGTCCATCGTAGCATTATTGAATCTCATACTTCTTCCGTCCCACTATGGCTCTATTCTTTTGGATTGAAAAAATGAAATTCAACTTTATTCAACTCCCTCCATCTCTAAATATTTGCAACATTTGTTTTTCAGAAGTCATGGGAATTTTTGTTTATTTTTATCTTTTCATTGGTTATTTGATAAAATAAAATATTTTTGACACTTTTTATTTCGAAGAACTTTTCGTGTAGTTTTTTGATAGGTAAATTTTATTTTTTATTTCTATACCAATATGTAAATAAAATAAATTGAAAAGGGTTGATATTTTACCTCGGGAATACAAATGTGATATTTAGATACGGAGGGAGTATTTGTTTAAGTCTTTCTAGTTATGAGATTCAATTGTTTCTAGTTTTTTGCAACTTCTTCCATTTGTTTTTAACTACTTTCAGTTTCTTCCAACAACGATTTAAAAACGTATTTACATATGTATTAGATTATCATTTAATTGAATGATTTTTTTAACACTTTATTTTTTAACATGGTTAAACTCTTTCAAATTTTTTTCAAATTCTTGAACTTTCTTCAAACTTCTTCTAATTTTTTTTTTAATTTTTTCCAACGTCTAATTTTAGAATTCAAACAAAAAGAATAAAACCTAAATGTCTATCATGCCACTTCACGAGTTTTACCATGAAGTATTTTACGTGCACTAACACACATCTGCACAAAATATATGTGTCACACAAATATTTTATGTCGGTATGAAACATAATGTGCAAGTAACATTATTTATTGTCCACAACTCTTAAATGCAAGAATTCTTTTTACATGAAAATAATCCGTATGAAGTACTACTTAAATTAGCATTGAATTTTAGCTTTTAAAAAAGAAAAATCTCCTGGTAGAAATTACATTGTCTTTTGCATACTTTCTTGCTAAAGCTTGCTTTTTTAGTACGAGTAGACTTGAAGAAACTACTGTAAAAAGAAGCTCAAAACACACCTTCTATATCTCTATTTCTAGAAGAATTTATTGCTACTGTTAATGGAGTACTATGCTTTAATCAATACTCTCTGCGGCCTATGTTTATAATGTTTGATCCAAGAGGAAAAAGTTTGAATTCATGATCGCGCTTCGCAGAGGTCAGTTCGTAATTTCATTTTTCGTGAAATTTGCGTTTCTACCATGCTTTTAGGCGGATTAGCAGCTTACTTTGAATAAATTGGTGTTTTCCGGAGCAGATTAGCTGCTCGATTTGTAGAAATAGGTATAAGTAGGTGTTTGTCATTTGATCGGTGATAGATATAACGCAATTGCATTCTGTTTACGTATTTGGACTGCAACAGCCTTGTTTAGTGGCGATTTTGAAGTGTTCTGGTTATACTTTGATGTTTGGCTTTGATGATTGAAGTTTTGTGATTACCACTCTGAATAGAGTATGAGGAATCAGGTAAAAAAATTGAAGTTGATTTAGGTTTGATAGTGGAATTCTTCGTTTTAGTGTAGCTCAATGAGTTGGTAATGAGTGGGGGGGTTCACTTTCAGTAGATCATTATCAGAAACAAACATTCCTTACATCTTGATGATCATGATTAGATCTTACAGTTTATCTCTTCTTATGATAATCAGGTGTTAGGCTCAAGCTATATTGACTTCAAAACTTTGTGATCGCATTAGGTAACCGGTTCTTTTGGTATGATGGAAGGTTACAACAACGGTAGTTAAGTGGATAGGAACTTGGACCAGTGCTAGTGCTAGAGCCTGTGGAAATTGGCAGGCTTAGTTATGGCATCTGCTGGCCATGGAGGCGCAGGGAGTTCTAGGAGTGTTAATGGATTCAAAGATCCATCTAGTTCACTTGACTGCCTGGCGAGGGAAATGCTTGAGATGGGATTGAAGGATGCGGTGGACCTCGACGATGATAAGGTGAACTTCTTGAATGAGCTTGTCACATGTTACCTCATAAATATTTTGGACTTTTAATATGCCCATTTCTTTTAATGCGTATATTGTTATGCAGGACAATGAGCCTGAGATGATAGAAGGCATGGGTGTAGAAACAGGACACGTTATTAGAACTACTATTGGCGGTCGAAAGGGTCAATCCAGGAAGGTTAGTGAACTAACTTAAGAAAGTACATGGTCAAAAATTGTGTAGTGCTAATTTCAGCTGCACTTTAACTTGTTTGTATGGGGTTGGACAGAATATCAGCTACAAAGCTGAACGTGTGATAGGAACAGGAGCTTTTGGTGTTGTTTTCCAAGTAAGCCCTGGTATTTATTTTGGATAGCATGTTCTCTTTTGTTTCTGTTTATATACGAGCTTCGGTTCTTATGGTTTAGAGCAGGCAAGATGCAGAGAAACTGGAGAAGTTGTTGCGATTAAGAAGGTTCTTCAAGATAAGCGTTACAAGAACCGGGAGTTGCAGATAATGCAGATGTTAGACCATCCTAATATTGTTGCACTTAAGCATTCTTTCTTCTCGATGACAGACAAGGAAGAGCTTTATCTCAATCTTGTCCTTGAATATGTTCCGGAAACTGTTAACCGTGCTGCTAGGCAGTTCAGCAGAATGAACCAGCGGATGCCATTGATTTATGTCAAGCTCTATACCTATCAGGCATGTTGACACATCTGTTGACTAATTCCTTTAATGCCAGTATTAGTGGTAGCTTGGGGTGTTCTCATTCTGGGTGCATTGTGCCCTTTTTCATTATTGGTTCATGTCATCCTACTGTTCTTACTTTCTCTCCAAAAGCCACCTCGGAAATATAAGAATAATTGCTCAGTATCATCTTCCAGCTAACACTTTAATGTGCACTTCAGGCTTGGTTAATTCTTTTAAAAATATGCACTTCTCTTGCTCATTATTATTATCACAATTCACTGCTAATTAATTGTCTATAACGCTTTGCTTACAGTAGATAGGAAGACGGATATGTAGAACTTGCACTACTGGGATCCTGTTTATATATCTAAAAATATTGTAGTCAGTACCTCTTAATTCTATTACCAAATATTTGTACCACTTACTTCCATCACCCCCTCACTGCTATAGGAAGGAATAGACAGTATAATGTTTCTACTTCACCTTGCTGTGTGCATCCAACTTTGAAAATTAACAAACAAATGTGCATTTTCACTGCTCAAATTTACTACTACAGCCCACTTATGGGCCTTGTAAGATTTTACAGCTAGAGTCCTGCTTATGTTATTGCTGATATTAGTTACTTGAATTTGAAGAAATGCTGATCGCACGGTAATCTAAAACAATTGTCAAATTTCCTTTAACACATCTCTAATGATTCATTATTTTATGTGTTCAGATTTGCAGGGCACTGGCTTATATCCATAAGTGTATTGGCATTTGCCACCGTGACATTAAGCCTCAAAATTTGTTGGTTAGACTCTTTCATTTCTGTTTGTTCTTATGTAAGAAGTTGAACAGTTCACTTTTTCTAGACTTGGAAGAAAGCAGCCATGGAAATTGAACACAAGGCAATACTTAGCATGGAGCTTTCTATCAAAGAATACTTAACAGCTACACATTAGCTATTTCCATGAGCATAAGTGGATTCATTTTACTTAATAAGCTGACGCAGACCTTTTACCCCCAGGTGAACCCACATACGCATCAACTGAAAGTTTGTGATTTTGGAAGTGCAAAAGTTTTGGTAAGTATTCAATTTCAGGAGATTCTATAAAGCTGCAGTTTAACAATAGAAAGATGATGTTGGTAGGATATGCAAGAAAGAGAAGTGATAAAAAACAGAAAAAAGGAGGGCACCTTTCTATTTTTGGGGTCGTCATGAGACAGCAATGGATTTGAAATATTTGCTAGTTTCATGCACATTACATGATTGATGTTGCAAAATCAACACGCAAATAAGGAACATGACCGTATCTAATATTAGAGTTTGTTATTGTAAATTTTCCCCTTTAATTTCTCAAAAATAGTTCCAACTTTGACATTTATCAGGTAAAAGGAGAACCCAACGTGTCATACATTTGTTCAAGACATTATCGAGCTCCTGAGCTCATTTTCGGTGCCACTGAATATACCACGGCAATTGACATCTGGTCTACGGGGTGTGTCATGGCAGAATTACTTCTTGGAAAGGTACTCTAGCACTCTGTTTGTATTGTAGTTCATTTTTTGTGACCATTAATTTTCTCTTCTGAATCAATCTTATCCAGCCTTTATTTCCTGGAGACAGTGGGGTTGACCAATTAGTAGAGATCATAAAGGTGGGTGCTTTATAACTCATATTACCGAATTTTCCTCTCATAGTCTCATCATTTATTCTTCTTTGTTGTTAAAAATTTGATAAATTGTTATACAGGTATTAGGAACACCTACTAGAGAAGAGATGAAATGCATGAATCCAAACTATACTGAATTCAAATTTCCACAGATAAAACCCCATCCATTACACAAGGTACTGCATTTTATATTTTTTCTTTGACTCGTAATATGGTACCAGAAGTTATTCATTTGAAGCTTGAGCTGAAATGGTATCGATTTTGTGCATCATGTCATGAAATACTGTTTTGCACCTACCCTTCAGGATATTATTCGATGTCTCTGAGAGGCTGAGACTTGAGAGGAAGCATATGAAAAGTGGGGATAGCCCGAACCATGCTGAATTCAAACTGATAGTGTATTCTCAGATATCATATTTAATGGCTCTTGGTCTTTGATTACAAATGTTGCAGATTTTCCAAAAATTGCCTCCAGAAGCATTTGACCTAGTTTATCGTTTTTTCCAGTACTCCCCACATTTGAGATGCACTGCTGTAAGATTACATTTATATGCTGATTGATTATTTCAACCCTTAATTTGGTTTTTACTAAATTATGGATTTGTTCATCTGATGTGTAATGCAGTTGGATGCTTGTCTTCATCCTTTCTTCGATGAACTGAGAGACCCCAACACACGCCTTCCTAATACCCTGCCTCTCCCGCCCCTCTTCAATTTCAAAACTCAAGGTACTTTCTTTTGATATATTCAATATTTGCATTACCACAGCACCATCATCATGGGCTGGTAACTGTTGCAATCTGACCCGTCCGAGCCTTAACAAGTCAGGTTTGGTAGTTGGTAATCGTTTTTACGATGGGCTCAAGTAGAGGAGAATATACCCGCGATGAGTTCGGATAGTAGCGTAATGCTCATATCTGTACCCGACCCCCACCCCCCACACACACACATGCGTGTGTGTGTATTAATACTAGTATCAATTTGATACTTGTGTGTATGGATACACGCCTGGTAATGTCTAAAATTATTTGATACTTCGTCCCATAAAAAGAGTCATATTTCTTAACATGTTTATGTTCCAAACAAAACAATGGTCCAACTTGAAGGAAAGATGTTATTTTTCATCGATCACCACATGTTTGCTACTAGCCTACAACTAAATGTGCACACATTTATCGCCATAACATTTGTGTCCATCAACAAATAACAAGTCCATTCCTGCTTTATTTGTAGAGCTCGTCGACTTACCTCCGGAAACCATTCGCCGGCTCATTCCAGAACACGTTCTCTCAGGGCGTTCTGATTCATAGCTCTCCTCCATCCCAGTGATTATATATTTGAAAGGTTCCACTCCCACCGTGATTTGTATTTAGCTTTTAAGCTCCCTCGACTTCTTGTGTATCGGCAAATGGATGAATGGTGAGATGTGCTGCATAATGCAGATCGAAGAGAGAACCATTGTTTCGGTTTCCTGTCGTCTTCTTCTTCTTCGGTGACTGTATATTTTTTCTACCACTCTCTCTCCACTTAAACATGAATGCAGGTTATATGTTTACTTTTTTTTTCTTGGTTAGTTATTATACTTACGCAAGATATCTTGTTTTGTTTTTATATAAATATATATAAACACGGTTAGATAGATGTTGCAACATGTTATTATTGATTCAAAGCTTGAAGAGAGAAATGCGATCTTTTTTTCTCTAGCTCAACCTCTAGCTCCCCAATATTTGTTTTCATCATGGTTATGTTTGTTAGTTCTTTTTTTCTTCGTCTACAATTGGCTAAACATGAATAAATGAATCATTTGATAAGGAGGAGGCAAAGTTAGTTAGGTGTAGAATTTATTCTAAGGACTCATTTGGTTAGTTAGTTTTGGATAATTGATATGATATGATTTTAAAAAATGAGAAAAATGTTACGAGTTTTGATGTTTGAATTAAATGTGTTTGTGATATGTTTGAAATCATGATTTTTTCTAGCCTTGACCAGTTGACCTTTCATATGCCCCAAATGTTTCTACATATCACATTCCCATGACATTGGAATCAAATATCATGGGATGCTCCGGGAGTGCTCCGGTGCCCCGTTCGTACAATTGACGGTTCCTACCTTCCTAACCCCTCCGGTAAACCCCCACTCTGGCCCAACCCGGGGGCACTCCGGTGCCCGGCTCAGGTGCCACATACATAAATACTTCCCTCATCTCATAAACTTCTTTACATTATTCTTTTGATGGATCTCTATGAACAAAGTTTTTTTACATCACCTACTCGGGATATCCATCACATGAAATGCCATACTGTTTTTTACATTTACTTTCTTCCTTGTTTTGTTAATGAATATGTGGCTACTTATATTTTGTTCTCTTCTAAATAAATTCTAATTATGTATATTTTATTTTTCAATAACTTTTTAAATTTTGTGAAGTAAACCTATAAAAATTTTCAAAAGACAGTGAAATAATTAGAATAATCACTTCTTCTAACCCAAAACAAAGTTATAGCTCGACTTCACACAATTCTAAAATTTACTGTATTTTTTAAAAAAATGTATGAATAAAATTTGTTTAGAGAAAAACATTTTTACACGCTATTTAATTTAAATTTTAATATGAAAAGAAAAAATTTGTTAGGAAGTATATGCTACTCCCTCCGTCCCATTTTATAACGCTTGTTTCGGTTTACGATGTTTGACTGAATTTATTTTCAAATCATTTTATATGACAAATGGTACATAGTTAAAAAATAAAAATTACATATTAAAATACCATTTCAAAATATCTACAAATCTAGTAGTGACAATAATATTTTATTTTATCAAATTGTTAACGAAAATAGAGATAGAAAGTAAATGAAGTTTGATGCTCTGAATAGTGAACATGCATTATAATTTGGGACGGATGGAGTATTTAATTATATTTTTTCATATAAAAGAAATGAAAATTTTATTTTCATAAAGGGTAGAAGTCGGATTCCACCATAGGAATGAATTGGAAAAATTGAAAACTGCAAGCCGAATTGATATCTATCTAAACGAGCTAGAAAAAACGGACAATCAAATGTAAAAAAATGAATTAGATCATTATTGTTTGATTTTCATTATGGTAAAAAAAACTGAACCAAACCAAATAAATCAAATTTTCAACGTGTTTCGTTTTATGTATATGAATATATATATATATATATATATATATATATATATATATATATATATATATATATATATATATATATATATATATATAATATGATATGCGAAAAACTAAAAGAATACAAATATAAATAACTGATCAGTATTCTACATTAACTATTAAATATTTTAAACCTTATTATAAACTTTTTTTAAAAATACAAAATATAAACACCAATAATTATTTCTAATATGGAGTTATATGAACATTAAAAATTGATACAATATTTTACATATTTATATGAAAAACTTTAATGTCATAATTGAAATAAAAATATTATGCCAAAAATGCAAATACTTCATAATTGATATTTACATACAAAAATTTTGACAGTGTTTGAAATGCCCTAGATGTTTGTTGGGCATTCGACTCTCTCACGCTTGGAAGGTGTGTGCTTAGTTTGTTGAACTCTCTTTTTAGATTATACTAGTATTCCTACCCGTGCCGCGCACGGGTTCGAACGAATTTTTTTTACTCAGATAATTTTTTTATCTTATTTGTTGATGATCCATAAATTTTTGGTAATTGAAATGCATGCATATATAAATTGAAAAGAGCATATAAATGTATAAATAAAATCTATATCTTTTGAAATACTTCAGGGTAAACTACATTTTTGGTGAAATTGCAAGGGTTACCGTTATCGTTTAAAACTAACACTTTCAATCCTGTCTTTGCTTTCACTCGTGAAACTGCAACATAAAGTTGACCGTGAGTGAATACTGGCTTGCTCAAAAATAATCCAAATGACAATGTTTGCCCTTGACTCTTATTGATAGTCATGGCAAAACATAAAGATATTGGAAATTGTCTTCTTTGAAACTTAAATGGTAATCCAGGATCAGATGGTACCAAATTCATTCTTGGTATGTAAACTTTCTCCCCGGCATTGTTTCCGGATACAACGATTGCACCGATAACATTTCTCCGCAACTCTTCAACGATTAACCTTGTACCATTACACAACCCTGATGTTTGATCAATGTTTCTCAATAACATGATCGGTACTCCTTTCTTCAAAACTATTTTGTGATTTGGAATTCCAGAACATTTGATATCGTTCAAAAACTCAGTCGTTATCCAATCACCGTCTATGCCGACATCTGAATCTGCTTGACACGAAGAATCTGAACTCAAATATTCTTTTTCATCACCAGGAATAAGAGACAAAACAAATTCATTGATCATTTCAACAACTTCAAGTGTGGGTGCTAATAACGCTCTATCCATAAAGAAAGTATAATCTTTTATATTTTCCAATAAATCTGGATATGTGAATTCCACTATAGTCTTAAGCGGAGTGCTCGAGTTAAGAATCAAGGATTCTAGTGGTATTTCAATATCACCAATACCACCATTAACCACGCCAAGCTGTCCATCTCCAATTTTAATTATCCAGTCCGAAAAAGTTTTTGTGTCATTATCTTCATTGGTGGATGCAGAGAAATGCAACCTCATATTCCTTATTAACGTGAAGACCTTACAAAATGACCACAAACTCGAGGAATTAATTGTAGCATCTACAATATCCTCTCTTGAAGCTCTTGGCAAAACTAGTAGGATTTGACGGAAGTCACCCCCAAGCACAACTGTTTTCCCCCCAAACGGTTCATTTGCAGCGTTTTTATTAGAAAACCGCATAATATCTCTCAACGTGCGATCTAATGCCTCAAAAGCAAATTTATTCATCATACATGTTTCATCCCATATTATTAGACTCGCTTGTTGGATTAATTCTGCTGTGGGGCTTCCTTGTTTGATGGCGCACGTTGAACATTCAGTTAGTGCCAAAGGGATCGAGAATCTTGAATGTGCTGTCCTACCACCAGGTAATAACAATGCTGCAATTCTACTGGACGCAATATTTAAAACAATCTTGCCTTTCGATCTAAGCGCTGCAGATAATGATTTCCAAAGAAATGTTTTTCCAGTTCCTCCATAACCATACACAAAATAGAAACCTCCTCTACCATCTGTGACAACTTGCATTATCTCATCGTATATTTTCCTTTGATCATCATTCATCGTTGATAAATATTTCTTGAGATCAATTGACAACTTTTCTCTGTCATAGTTTAGCTCTTCGACTAAGAAATTATTCGGGAATCGATTAAGTGGGTCGTTAATTGGAAATGGCATGCCACTGAACTCCTTTAAAGATCGTCCGTTTGAATTAAGTAATTTCTCAATCTCAATCAAGCATAAATTTTGGAGATTACCAGGCAAGATGGTAAGTTCTGCAAAACAAATGTTCATTAAAATATTTCTAAATTATTTTTTTGAATCAAAATATTTAAAACTACACATATCAACCAAACAAAAAAAGATAATAATGTAGCACATTAAAAGAATACATTGTAAAACAGAATAATAAAATTTTCCTAATACTCCATTACTTTTGCTTAAAAAATTAGAGCAATGCAGCTCTTTTATAAGATAAATTCCTAAATAGACAATCATGTAGTAGAGTAATTCACAAATCGTCTACAAAAAAGACAACTTTAATTAAATATAGGAATTTTTAGCTTTTAAAAAATGTTGTTAGTTTTATGGTGTTATTGCAATAACGAACATGTTACAGTAGATGAAGTCCATGTTTACTAACACCTGCAACAATATTTTGTTTTATCAAATGGTTTTTTTTCAAAAATTCACATTTTTACTATCACATACTTCAATTATAGTTCTAATTAATAATAACAATGAGTTAACCTAACAAATTAATTACCTGGATTGCACAATAATCTTCTTCGATCATATAAAATCCCATCAGCCAATAGTTCCCATGTTTTCTCCCACACAACACACAGACGACTCATGGCATTCGTCATCAACAATGTGACGAACAACTTTCTCAACTGATTTCCAGAACCAAGCTCGGCAGCCTCTTTTATACCTTCAATGAATTCTTTATCATCGATTAATAATCCGAACGCTTCACACGCAGACTCAAATGAGTTGTGTACAACATTGTTTACTGTCCTCAAACTTTGATAACTGGTGCATCCTCGTTGGACAGTCAAGAGAAATCTCAAGTAATATATCTCGCCGGTTCCTGCTGGAACATAATGGAGTCGGCCTAATGATGGTCTTTGCTTTCTCAGAAACCAATGTTGTTTTTTTTGTCATACACAAAGTGTCCTGGGAACTCAGCATAAGTTAAATTATGCCCCTCAGTGTACTGTGTATTGGCCACCATCCAAGCCTCAAACATTGAAAGACGTTCAATATTTTCTTGAACTACTTTATTAACTTTATCATTGTCCTTGAAGGTTACAAATTTCTGACCTGGAAGATGGAAATTCAATCTCAAAACAGCTGGCCACCTATGGTGTATATCAAAAGCAAAGATTCTCCAAGCGGCTTCGCACGCAGATATGTATCGACAATTTAAGTACTTCTATGGTTCATTGAACCCAGCCGCTTTATTAGAATTACTTTCTGATTGTCCTACTGCAACAGTCA